ATATCGAAACTTGCCTTGAGAAAGTAAGCAAAGCCAAGTTCATCTCAACCATCGACCTCGTTAGAGGTTACTGGCAAGTGCCACTTACCGCGAACGCCAGTAACCTTGCCGCCTTCATGACCCCGTTTGGTGTTTTTAAGCCGCTTGTCCTGAGCTTTGGACTGAAAAACGCACCCTATGCGTTTTCGAGACTGATGAATCTGGTACTGGTCGGAACCGAGTCTTTTGCGTTACCGTACCTAGACGACGTCGCTATATTTTCGGACACGTGGAGAGAGCACGTTCAGCACCTAGAACAGGTGTTCTCGCGCCTGCAAGACGCAGGACTTACAGTCAAGGCGAAAAAGTGTAAGTTTGGCCGAGGCGAAGTATCGTATCTCGGACACGTAGTCGGTCAAGGAATGAGACGTCCACAAGAACTCAAGGTTCAGGCCATTAAAGAGTTTCCCTTGCCACAAACAAAAAAAGATTTGATGTCCTTTATCGGACTGGTGAATTACTACCACCAGTACATTCCCCAGTTCTCTGAAAAGGCGAGTCCCCTGACGGATGCGCTCAAGAAAACTGAGCCCACTAAGGTCAAATGGGACGATCGCAAGATAGAGGCGTTTGAGGCTCTTAAGTTAGCCTTGGCGACTCAGCCCGTATTAGTCAGCCCTGACTACACAAGACCCTTCTTAGTGCAGTGCGACGCCAGCGAAAAAGGACTCGGCGTCGTTCTAAGCCAAGAAAATGAAGGGGAAGAGCACCCCGTTTTGTTTGCCAGCAGGAAGCTAACTTCAAGGGAGCAAGCCTACAGTACCATCGAAAAAGAATGCGCTTGTCTCGTATGGGCTGTAGAAAAGCTTCGCTGCTATCTCTATGGTTCGGAGTTTATTTTAATTACAGATCATAGACCGCTCACATGGCTTCAGCAGCTGTCCCCCAAAAATGGTCGCTTGTTACGCTGGAGCTTGACCCTCCAGGAATATTCTTTCTTGGTTCGACATAAAAAAGGAAAGCTTCATGCGAACGCAGATTGTCTGAGCCGAGCGCTCTAACCGGCGCACAGTGCGATTTTCTGTTTCTTTTGTCTCATCTGCACATTTGTAAATAGTTCCATTCAATTTCATTCATTAGCTGTCTATTCCCGAAAGATCGGGAACGATATTTTCAAAAAATTCTGGCTGCGTTTGGGGCATATTTTGTAACCTATTTCTTTTGAATAATTCGTGCTCTCGGTGAGTGGAAAGGGCGTTTCGGGTGCCTCCGCAGTTTCTGTGGTGCTTGGTTGTTGTTGGCCCTTCTCATTCCCCTCAGAAGCACGACGGACCTCTGTTGTCATCCCGACGTCCTGGCACCGACGGCACGTGACAGCCGCTGCTACTCCTGGGCCGCTGGCGACTTTGGCTCATGGTCGCAAGGATCGCCATCACCGCTCCTTCCTGCTCCTCTCGGACCGCACAGTCGACGCTTCCGACCAGTCAAGGACACTGAAAACTGCAGTGACGGTGTTGGGCCGCGCGTCGACGCTTCCGGCCAGTTTCGCAGACGGTGTTGGGCCCTGCGTCTCCAGGACTTCCCGCCCTTCGGATCAGCGCAAGCTGAACCTGTATACGCTGTGAAGGTTTCTTCGAGCAACGACTGTGAAGTTCTGCGCAAGCAGCACTAGGATTACGCCGTTCGTTTGTCTGTCGAACATTCCCAAGGACGTGCTTGAAACCTGGAGAGTGGCGGGAAAATTGTTTTATGCGGTTTCGCCCTAAAAGGGGGAGGAGTTGTTACGATGCGATGTTATCGCTTATCGCTGTCGCGGCCGCAGCAGAACTGCTGAGTCAGGGGGGCGTACCTCTGATGCTTGCTGCCGATATAAGCGGCATCGCCGGCAAGCTTTGTGCTCTTTTGGTTCCGGCTGCCGAACAATAAACGCTGCCAAATAAACGTCGGTCTCCGGATTCGTCGATTCTCCCGGAGAAACGTAACAGGGGAAACAGAATTAGTGCAAAGGTCACGGGACGTCAATTTTTCCGCCAAATTTAGCGGGGGACCTGAATATTCTGTAAGTCCCGTGACGTCAGGTGTGACGTTAATTTTTCCGCCAAATTTAGCGGGGGACCTGAATATTCTGTAAGTCCCGTGACGTCAGGTCACGTGACGTTAATTTTTCCGCCATATTTAGCGGGGAAACTGAATTTGGGCATAGGTAACGTGATGCCTATTTTCCGATAAATTTAGCGAGGAACCTGAAATAATGCATAGGTCACTTGACGTAAAGCTTTCCGCTAAATTTAGTGGGGAACCTGAATTATTAGGTCCCGTGATGTCAGGTCACATACATTAAGTTTTCCGTCAAACTTAGCGGGGAAGCTTTATTTTTGTTTATGCTCACGCCATTGAGAAACCGGGGAACGGACCACTCCGGTGTAAAAGTTTTTTTTTTTTTTTTTTACCGGGGATCAAGATTCATAGAGTTATTATAATGTACGCTAGAGGTTCAACTGGCGCTAGTGTCTATGCGACTTCCGTGACGCAAATTGAAGCAGACAGCAACCAGTCTACTTTTCCAGTCTTCCTGTGTATTCCTATGGGAAAGCGCGCGTGCATTTTGTCTCTTCGCCGGAAAATAACATGGAACACTTAGGTTATTTCGGTCGTACCGAATAGTATGTGTCTTAATTAACATTGTAAAAGTGTAATTGCTTTAGTTTGCGCATTTTTCTTCATCAGTGAACGATGTTTAACTTCGCTGCATTTCAGTCCCAAACGTGTGTTCCGCAGCAGGTGTGTAAGAACAAGCGACGATTCAAAGCAAAATTACGATCGAAACGAACATAGAGTGTGTTCAAGGCTCGCCAGCATTCCGGTGACGCTTGTATATTGATAATATGCCAGTCCTGTCACCATATGAAAATGATCCCATCGTGCATGAGCGGATAAAAACCTTCAACGTAGAAAATAAAGTCCGTGGGATATGAAAGGTGTCTCTTGGTATTGTTTTCTCTGCCGGGCAGCTTTTATCGCGCACTTGTTCTCAAAGATGTATAGCGCGGGGGTGATATTTTGAACGTAGAACACGCAGCTTCGCTCAGGACAGAAAGAATAATGCGGTACTCGCTTATTTAAAATCGGAATAGATTACGTGGCCTTCAATTTATTTTGATCGTACATGCACTGCGAGTTACTGATCCGGTGTTGTTGCGTAGTTCTTGCCGCCGCTCTTGATTTTCCAGATGTCCTTCGTTCGTTTGGCATGTATATCCCCCATGCTGGAAATCGCCGACGCCGCGTTCGCGCTAACAGTGTCCGACAGTGCATATAAATACACGTACGAAGCCGTTTTAGCACCGTTTTTAGTGCGATGAATTCGAGAGAAAAACGCCGTAACTGACCAATTCTTTCGTCAGCCTGACTGAGAAATGTTCCAAACTACCTAGTACGTACGAATTATTTGGGATATTTGCTCTTATGATCAAGCGCAGGGAGAAAATGCACTCACATTTTCCCATAGAAATGCATTACCGGAAGTCCATTTTCGACTGGTTGCTGTCTGCTTCAATTTGCGTCAGCACACTAGCGCCACTTGAACCTCTAGCGTACATTATAATAACTCTATGCCAAGATTAAGTTGAGTACTGACCTGAGAACAACCAGCCTGTCCGAAATGCAACACTTATTTTCTCCTTTTAGTCCCGTTGATTTTCACAATAGGTATCCTACTGTGAAGACAGGGAAACCCTCAAAGCGTAAAGCTAATTTAATAAATAATTTTAATGACTGAACAATCTTGATTCCACTACTGAATATTGAATAGTTGAATGTTCTGATATTTACAGAACCGAATAACTGAGAAGTTTATTCGGTTATTCGAATATCCGGTTATCCGGTTTTCAACTTCGAATAATTCGTTAATTCGAATAACCGGATAACCGGTTATCTTCAAAACCGGTTTCACCTGCTGGCACTACTTTCTATGCGAATGAAACATGCTTGTTTTTAAAGTGTTTTTTGGGGTGCGCAACGGCTTGTAGAACTTGGCACTCGAGCTACCCCTATTGGTTAGACGCTTTTTGGTATTGAAGCTTTAGTTCGTGCCCCAGTGGCGGCAATAACAGTTGTATAAGGGAATTGGAGTCGGATAGATCTTTGGTGCGGAATTGAAGTCATGCCTTTGAAAGGGCTAGTCAGTTACTTCAAACGCCCCCCGAAAAGAAACGCGCGCCCGCATGAGACACTTTTTTTTTTTTGTCTCCAAGTTTCATTTCATTTTATATCGTTTATTTGACTTACGGGAGGCTTTACATAAGAAAAGGGGGGGGGGGGGGGCAAATTGAACTATAAACGGTAAAATAAAAAATGAACGCTAAATTACTCTTCTAACAATACAAACATGATGGTAAATGGGATGAAGAGTGGCAGTGAGTGCCGCGACTGTACGGTGGAGGCGCTGTCGTCGGCTGAGGCTACTTGAACGCGCGCCACGAGGACTCTATCTGGTCGAACGTGTCGCAGCGTTCGCTCTGCCGTGTGTCCTCACCTATTTATGTTACAGCGGCATGCAGTTGTTAGGGCCCGCCCCCACGTAAACGAAGTTACCCCGCGAAATTTGGCGGGAAAATAATGTCATGTGACCTGGCGTCTTCCTGTCTAAACGTATTACGTTTATGCATTCAAGTTATTCGCTAGAGGAAAAAACAATTACGTCACATGACCTATGCACCAAGTCAGTTTAACCGCTAAATTTGGCGTGAAAACACATCCTACGACCTTGTTGCCGTTGTCTAAACGCATCTCGTCGTTTGATCGTCACGCAATTTTATATCGTACACTGCGGTCTGGTCATAGGCAGATCGATGCGTCCCAGCGCCACCCCCTGGATGGCGCCAGTGAGTGAACGCAGTCTTTCGAAGCGGTTTGTAGCGAGCAAACACTCGATGACATTCGTACCCAAATGTGTGACCCATGCCCCTGATGGCAGTCATATATGGAACTGAAAGTGGACAGCAAAAGTAAGGCAGACTTACGAAACAGTGTTCGATCACATTTTCGAAGAAATATATTGATCTACAGAGTTCCGACAAATCGACGATGTCGCCAGGCAAGCTCGTGACTTGGGGAACCTCCTGTCCTCTTGGTCGAAAGCACTCTTGGGGCACGCGGCTTTGAAAAAAGTGAAAGCTGCTTACAACTCCCTGTAACGCCGAATTGGAGCGCAGCTCTTGAGGAGGAGGAGGGAAGGGCACTGGGGGGGGGGGGGGGTCAAACTAACCAGGGGGGGTCACGTGACCCCCGATGCCGATGATGTAATCACTGAGGTCACTGATGACGTCATCATTGACGATGATGCGGGTACCGATGACGTCATTAGTGACGTCACTGATGACTTCACCAGTGATGATGACGATGACGATGCGAATGTCGGTGACGTCATCAGTGACGTCGCTCATGACGTCATCAGTGATGATGACGATGACGATGTGGATGTCGGTAACGTCATCAGTGATGATGACGATGACGATGCGGATGCCGGTGACGTCATCAGTGATGATGACGATGCGGATGCCGGTGACGTCATCAGTGACGATGACGATGACGATGTGGATGCCGGTGACGACATCAGTGACGTCACTGATGACGTCATCAGTGATGATGACGATGGTGATGCGGATGTCGGTAACGTCATCAGTGATGATGACGATGACGATGCGGATGCCGGTGACGTCATCAGTGATGATGACGATGACGATGTGGATGCCGGTGACGTCATCAGTGATGATGACGATGACGATGTGGATGCCGGTGACGTCATCAGTGATGATGACGATGACGATGTGGATGCCGGTGACGTCATCAGTGACGATGACGTCATTGGGGGTCACGCGACATCGGCGGGGGTCACGTGACCTCAGGGGAGTCACGTGACTTCGGGGGGTCACGTGCCCCCCACGAGGTCACGTGACCCCGGTGGGGGGCTCGCGCGGTGCATTATGGGACATTTCCCATGATGCACCGGGGTCACGTGACCTCGGGGGGTCACGTGCCCCCCACGAGGTCACGTGACCCCGGTGAGGGGCTCGCGCGGTGCATTATGGGACATTTCCCATGATGCACCGCGCGGTTACGCCGACGCCGACGGCGACGGCGACGCCGACGGCGACGCCGCTCAAGCCGGAAACGAGCCCCTAAGAGCTGCGCTCTAACAAAGAAAAAAATTAGTGTCAACATAAACGTAAATTCCTGCACACTGAAGCTGACTTGGTAGAAGTGCAATGCCTACTTTTTTTTAAAGCGTTAGGATTAACGCCGGAATTTAGAGAAAACCCGACCCCACTGGGTTTTGAAGAAAACCCGGCGGTGTCTTTCGTTTGTCAGTTGTCGCGTGCGACCCTCCCATTGGTCCGAAGCGTGACTTGAGCAGGTGTGAACCTCTCCCTTTCACCCCTGCGCTGACAAACTGACAGACACCGCCGGGTTTTTGTCAAAAGGAGCCCTTTTATTTTAGGGGCGAAGCTCCTTAGGGTCTAGCCTTGTCCGTCCAGCGTCCGTGCTCACACCGATTGCCATCCCATCTGTCACCTTAAAAAAAAATGTTTGCGCAGTCGACAGGATTCGAACCTGTGCGGGGAGACCCCAATGGATTTCTAGTCCATCGCCTTAACCACTCGGCCACGACTGCGGGACGAGTAGGGGGCTCTGAGATATGGTAGTAACTCAAGAGCTGGGGATGTCATGGATGAAACGAGCAATAAAAAATCAGCACCATCAGCACTACCTATGAACAAGATCAGTATCATCAGCACCCACCAGAGCTTCGCCCCAATCAACATCATTTTTGGCAAAGTCACGCGCAGAGCTGGCATGGAGCCAGGGAGGAGGAGGCGCCGCGCAACACCTGCTAGATAACAGCCGTAGCGCTGAATGAGATGGCTTAATCAGAGGAGGCCGACACTGGACACATAGTGGAAAGGAGTGCCGAGTCAGCGCTCGGCTTCGAGTCAAGGTTGAGCCGAACGTTGACGCAATCGTTGCGTTCAATCTGTGCCCAACGTTGGCCATCTCTGGTAACGGCATCTCATTCAGCACTATGGTTTTGGTGCAAAGGAGGTGTTGCGCCGCGGCGCGGTGAAATGCGGGCGTGCTGAGCTGCCGCTCCGCTGTCGCCGGTTGTTCTTCGCTCTGAGTTTCCGTGGTAGCGCTACATGGGGCTGTGATGTGTGTGTAGTTAAAACGATGGATGCTGTTTATTCCACGAGTGGAATGGATCTGGGTCTCTTACGAGTGATATGGATGACCGTATCCAAAGGCGTCGACGTAATTTGAAATGCAGAGTTCAAAAAAGGGAGGCGAAAAAAATTACAGGAATATCCATCGGAGGATTCATGGGGAATCCGTTAGCGTAACCCTTGGGAAACGCCACAACCGATCCCCTTTGGGAGACGCTAACACTGACCTCGTAACGAGGCGACGAAGAGGCAGCAAAAAGTAGAGGAAGCAAAAGAGAAATCCCTCTCCCAAAAAAGTGAAGGGGTTACCGTAAGCATTTCCCAAACAGGGACGTGTGTGGCGTTTCCCAGTTTCATGAGGACGCATTCCCGAAGAATCCACTAATGGATGTTCCTGTCATTTCTCTCTCTGTCTCTCTCGAGAATCTGTTAAGGGCCGACGACCAGACTCGAGATTCTTTAAGGCAGAAGATCCTCCTCACCCTGGGGGGTTATTGTAAGCATTTCCCAAACAGGGACGTGTGTGGTGTTTCCCAGTTTCATGAGAACGCATTCCCGAAGAATCCACTAATGGATCTTCCTGTCATTTCTCTCTCTGTCTCTCTCTCTCGAGAATCTGTTAAGGGCCGACGACCAGACTCGAGATTCTTTAAGGCAGAAGATCCTCCTCACGCTGGGGGGTTATTGTAAGCATTTCCCAAACAGGGACGTGTGTGGTGTTTCCCAGTTTCATGAGAACGCATTCCCGAAGAATCCACTAATGGATCTTCCTGTCATTTCTCTCTCTGTCTCTCTCTCTCGAGAATCTGTTAAGGGCCGACGACCAGACTCGAGATTCTTTAAGGCAGAAGATCCTCCTCACCCTGGGGGATTATTGTAAGCATTTCCCAAACAGGGACGTGTGTGGTGTTTCCCAGTTCCATGAGAACGCATTCCCGAAGAATCCACTAATGGATCTTCCTGTCATTTCTCTCTCTGTCTCTCTCGAGAATCTGTTAAGGGCCGACAACTAGACTCGAGATTCTTTAAGGCAGAAGATCCTCCTCACCCTGGGGGGTTATTGTAAGCATTTCCCAAACAGGGACGTGTGTGGTGTTTCCCAGTTTCATGAGAACGCATTCCCGAAGAATCCACTAATGGATCTTCCTGTCATTTCTCTCTCTGTCTCTCTTGAGAATCTGTTAAGGGCCGACAACCAGACTCGAGATTCTTTAAGGCAGAAGATCCTCCTCACCCTGGGGGGTTATTGTAAGCATTTCCCAAACAGGGACGTGTGTGGTGTTTCCCAGTTTCATGAGAACGCATTCCCGAAGAATCCACTAATGGATGTTCCTGTCATTTCTCTCTCTGTCTCTCTCGAGAATCTGTTAAGGGCCGACAACCAGACTCGAGATTCTTTAAGGCAGAAGATCCTCCTCACCCTGGGGGGTTATTGTAAGCATTTCCCAAACAGGGACGTGTGTGGTGTTTCCCAGTTTCATGAGAACGCATTCCCGAAGAATCCACTAATGGATCTTCCTGTCATTTCTCTCTCTGTCTCTCTCGAGAATCTGTTAAGGGCCGACAACCAGACTCGAGATTCTTTAAGGCAGAAGATCCTCCTCACCCTGGGGGGTTATTGTAAGCATTTCCCGAACAGGGACGTGTGTGGTGTTTCCCAGTTTCATGAGGACGCATTCCCGAAGAATCCACTAATGGATCTTCCTGTCATTTCTCTCTCTGTCTCTCTCGAGAATCTGTTAAGGGCCGACAACCAGACTCGAGATTCTTTAAGACAGAAGATCCTCCTCACCCTGGGGGGTTATTGTAAGCATTTCCCAAACAGGGACGTGTGTGGTGTTTCCCAGTTTCATGAGGACGCATTCCCGAAGAATCCACTAATGGATCTTCCTGTCATTTCTCTCTCTGTCTCTCTCGAGAATCTGTTAAGGGCCGACAACCAGACTCGAGATTCTTTAAGGCAGAAGATCCTCCTCACCCTGGGGGGTTATTGTAAGCATTTCCCAAACAGGGACGTGTGTGGTGTTTCCCAGTTTCATGAGGACGCATTCCCGAAGAATCCACTAATGGATCTCCCTGTCATTTCTCTCTCTGTCTCTCTCGAGAATCTGTTAAGGGCCGACAACCAGACTCGAGATTCTTTAAAGCAGAAGATCCTCCTCAACCTCGGGGAGGAGGAAACAGGCAACGGTGGACGAGGAGAAGGGGGAAAGGGGGAAGCGGGAGAAAAGTGGAAAGCGCGAACTGGCCGTCCGTCTTTAACCAAAAACGATCAAGGAGTATATACACTGAAAGAACTGCATGTTCAGTTCAAGAATTTTTCCTTTAATGGTTGTATTTTGAATTGAGCCAGAATTCAGATAACTCGAATAAAGTATGACCACTTTCTGAGGTCGAGTTTAAGAGGAAGGGTAGCGGATCCTTCGTTTGCCAACGCAGTTTATCAGACTGCATTCATTCGCAATGGAATTCGTATCCTTGTTGGCAGTTCCCTTGCGCTGATGATTATATGTGTGCAATAAGAAAATCAAGCATTTGGTCTGTAGAAACATGATGGAAAACTCTCTCGGCTCAAGTTAGCATTTACAAAATGTGCCCGCTTCTCTCTTAATATATATATATATATCTATCTCTATATATATATATAGATAGATAGATAGATAGATAGATAGATAGATAGATAGATAGTCCGAGAAAAAGAAACAACGCGCTGACGTGCGCTCTGTATCCACTAGAAGGTATAGACGTTTTACACACGCTCAGGATTACAGCCGCCATTGCCGACCTTCTCTTTTCTTACGAGATACCGAGCCACTAAAGCAGGCGTTGACGAGCCTCCACAAAGGCCAATGCTGGGAGAAGGACACAAAAGAATCCAAGATGGCAATAACCTGTCCTGCTACGGTAATACTGAAGGGAGGTCAACGGAATAAGAGGAAACAAAAACTGAAGGTCGGTTATGGCGGCGCCCATACACAGCTGCTGCAAAAGCGTCTATACTGCGCTTTTGTAAAAATTTACATGACTTTTCAAAGGCAGCTACTACCATATACACAAGGTTTTCAAAAAAATCGTAGGCGAATGAGGGCGAGCAAACAGAAAACGAGTCTTCCAGCACGCAGCCGCCCGGCTTCCGCTACGCTTCACCCGGCTGACTTCACCCAGGCCCAAGATGGCCGATTCGGAACTTCCGGTGGTCGCATTTCCAAAGCGGGAAAGACCGCATGAGGACACAACATGGCGCTCTGCTTCACACAAACTACAGCTGTGTGGTTTTTGTGGGCAAATGCATGGGGGCTCCACGCGAGGTTAGTTTGTATTATCAAAAAAAGATTTTGTTTCGTAAGCATCAAATATTTTTAGTAGATAATAGTGAAGACTTTTCTATCGTCTCGGTGCCACATAGGGATTCATAAAATCCCGCAATCAAGGTTAACAACCGGCTTTGCCTTGTTAGAAGACGATACGGCGGCTTCGTGGGTCCAATGGTCCTTCTGACAGAGCACGCGACTGCGCAGAATTAAGTTATAGGGACGAGTGACTAGACTTCTACTCGACACTCGAGGTGCGCGAACTGACGGACGCTGGCACGTAGAGGCTTCCGCAATAGAGAGTTTTAGTAGATCGTTCCCATGACTCCGATAACGATATCCCGATACTCCGCCACCGCCTCCCTTGAGCATGCATAGTATCGTTATCGGGGCTATCGGGGGTATCGGAACGATCTACTAAAACTCTCTATTGTCTGAGAAGGGAGAAAACACTACGAAGCAGAATTCCCGGACAAGGTGAAGTATAGGGTGTTTGAAATACCGAGGCTGGATCCAAGATGGGCCGTAAAAATCGGCGCCAACGGCGGGTGCTCACGGGTGCGCGCTCTTAGGGCACAGCAGAGCCATGGTGTCGTCTACGCACAAAATCTTTACGAGGCGGCCGCCGCTCTTGCCACTCCAACTTTCTAGAACACTGTACTTCCAAGGGCCGCTCACTTTAGTGCCGCGCCGCCATTTGCTTCCAAGTTCCGCTCGAGACACGAACCCCGTGCACTGGCGCATTTCACCATAGCCTCCTCTTTTGGCGACGTGCGCGGTCGAAAGCGTCTCTGCTTTCCACGATTGGCCGAATGCTGGCTATGGCGTCGGCAAAGGATTTCTCATCGATGGAAATAAGAGGAATGGAAGCACTTCACTTTTGACGGTGTTGGCAGTGTTGCTTTGAGAGCGCTATGACTTCAGGCTTCCACCATGCCCATTACAAACACCATCGAACTTGTTGTTCGCAAGGTAATGACGTCACGAGAGGGAACCACGGGAGGGCGCCGCCAAAACATCTCGCCGCTAATCCTGACAAATCCTGGCAGATCGCCGTGACGCGGCCGCCGAAACTGAAAAGGTAGAGCAGCAGACAAGAGTCATGTAATGGGCGCCCCGCTGCGGCGAGGCGCCGAAACACACTAGTCCCGAGCGATGGAATGGCCGCTCGTGCTTCACGCGTTCCCCGGGCTACCGTTTCTTTTCTCGTCGGGTTTGAAACCCATGTTTCGGGTCCTCGCCACTGCAAAAGCTGTGCGCTGAATACCAGACTCCCCGAGAAATTCTCTGTGCTACCAGATCCTCGCGCTCCAAATCTGCGACCGGGCACTCTATGGCTCCGTCTATGGCAGGCTGTTGTAGTATAGAGGAGGCTATGATTTGACGCTGCTTGCAAGAAAACGCGAGCACAACGAGGTTCTTTAGGTGATTAGCGTCCCTAGAGCCACCAGTGGCAACGCCTCTATGGACAACGAGGGATCGTTTCAGAATGGCGCTCTTTCTGCGCAAACGTTTACGCAAACGTTATGCTTACTATAAGAAAAAGATAAATAAAAAACGTAAAATCCCTTCTCTACTCAGGCAATGTCCATTCAACGTTCCACCGCTTCTGTCCACACGCGGGCTAGAGTAAGGAGCGCCACCAAGCGGCCGCACGCACGAAAAGGCGTGATGCCCTGCAAGAAGTCTCTCAACTGACTTGGATCTAGTAACGTCCGCCGCACTGACACCCCGTTGTGTCGATGCGTGCGCACGACTATCCGAGCAGGCGAACTTGGACGTCGTATAGCTAGACATCGGAAAGTCCGTAGGGGATCCGAAGAACGCGAATTTCAGTCACGGCGTGCAGACGAGGCTCGTCGTATAATAGACAAGGTAAGGATGAGGCACCCAAGAGGAATAGAAAGCGGAATCAAAGGGCAACTCCGCTCAATTCCGAAGATTTCGGGATAATGAGTGATTTCGAATGAAAAAGCCCTAGTAAGAGGTACTACGTCGTTTATTTCGCGAAAAATGGGATATATATATTTTAAATCTAATTTTAAACACGAGCGGAAATCGAAACCGAAACTTCGGCTCCGTCCGGCAACATTGGCCTCGGGCCGCCAAGTACATGGCCATCACGTGGTACGAGATGTCACGTGATCCTCGGCCCAACGACGGGCGGGATGGGGGCGGGCGTGCGGCAGGCGCGAGTGTCGTCTGCACCGCACTCTTGGCCACGTTTTGGTGTCTACGGCATTCGACGACGTCTGCACAACTGCGGCATAAGTCTTCGACTCTGCGCACGTGGTGTCCATAGTGTGGACGAAACTCCGAGAGGCAATAATCACAAACGGTGAAACGACGACGGTGGTTGTGACGCGGAAGACTGCGGTAACGGCGGGACCGCGGCGGGCGCTTGGTCTGCTCCCAAGAAGCTCGCTGCACGTGGACACCGCTGAGCGCCGAGAGGAAACGTTGCCAACGTCATGCGCTACGCTCGATTGGAGAAGTAAAAACAAGCAAAAGGGGGCCATGATGATGACGTTTAGCTCAATGTTGGCTCCGCCCATGCCGTAGCCTTGACTGCGCTGTTGGTTGCGCCTGAATTCGCCCGCTCGAGTCAGCCGATTTCGGCAACTTGGCGAGTTGCGAAGTTTGCCGGACCGTTTAAGAAACATTTAGACAGAATTGCGTCGTAAGATTTGACGAGTGGTCTCCTTAGGCGATACTGAAGAGGACTGCATTGTTTTTTCAAAACCAAAAATGAAGCGGAGTTGCCCTTTAAGGTTCTCGTGGAAATCTTCAGAATCGTGCCTAGGAAACAGTTCAGAAACGACAACGGCGCCACAGTGATAGCGATTTACGCGAGCTCCGAGTTGCTGTGGCTGCGGCACAGGTTATGCGGTAGCGTAAGTGCACTCGAATTTTAATGGAACATTTTATATCGGTAAAGGTCGAGGCCTAGTTCCATATACTTTGTAGGGATCATGCTATGCGTCGCTAGAAAGCGCGGAAAAATTTTTAAATGTTAACTTTGCCGAGTTTTTTTTAATATATATATTTTTATTTAGAAACAATAAAAAGCAGGCTGGAAAATGTCCATCCCGGGTATTCCAAAAATGTAATTAACTTGTAAATAGATAAAAAAATAAACAAAAACGTTGGAGCTTTTTTTATATATTGTTCGACTACTCTGCTAAGAGGAAGGGACTGATTGAGTCATGTTTGCATGACCCCCGTTTTATTTTTATGCACCCGTAAAACAAAATAGGCAATATAATTACAAAATAATGCCTTACGCAAGCGAAGCGTTGAGCATATCCAAACCGCATTGGGGTAGTACGGTTCTATTTTCTGCGCATTTCTTAAGCACATCCTCCTCCAAATCCACGGCCATTCTGAAAAGATCAAAAAGAGAATTTTAATTCATAAATCTTCATAGAACTCGGAAATAAATAATGAACGTGTTTTAGCACCGTCTCTGAAAATTCCCTCAAAATGAAAGACCTTTTTGAATTCTCTGTAACGCCGAATTAGAGCGCAGCTCTTGAGGAGGAGGAGGAGAGAATATGAAGGGGAGGGTAGGCCCCTTCTCCGCCTTCGTATCCTCCCCTCCTCCTCTCCTGCTCCCCTCCGATTTAGCGGTAACATTCCCCGCTAAATTCAGCTGCGAAATTTTATAGAGATATTTTTCCGCTAAATTTAGCGGGAAATTTAGCGACCATTTCTAGCTAAATGGGAGGCGAGCAGGAGAGGAGGAGGGGTATACCCTCCTCTCATCCTCCTCCTTCCCCTCATCCTCCTCAAGAGCTGCGCTCTAATTTTGCGTTACATGGGATTGTAAACATCTTTCATTTTTTTAACATTGCCGTTACTTTTCGTTTGTATGCAGATTCTTTCTTTAATAACTTTAAATTCTTTTTTAAAAAATGTTTAAAATCACAAAAAAAATGTTTTCACTTCTTTTTTTTACCAAAGCTCGTATACTTTTACACAGAAAAAAAATATATCATACACTGTGTGTATAGCTTGTTTACAGAGAATCTCAGAATACTGTTGCGGTATTATTGCTTCCATGGTAATGCACTTTTGGCGCTTAGGACGACGGCTTTGCCACTGCAGAATATTGTCACCGTACAACAACGAAACAAAAATTTTATTAATTAAAATAAATATTCTAGCGAGAAATACTGATTTCTAAAAAAAATCTAGCACGAGGCGAAAGAAAATCATACGTTAGACAAGTTCTTTTTTTTTTAACTGAGAAAGTGGAAACTATCGGGAAGAACTGCTAAATACTTGCAAGAAGCTACATATGGATGAAGGAAACGTTTGTCAAAGGTATGCGTTCTGGTTTACATGAGCCGGGGATCGCATCTGCTCATACCAGGCACGTAGCCAGGGTTTTGTTTCGGGGGGAAGGGGGGGAGGGGCGGGGGGGGGGTGCCCATGACAAAATGCTGTTTGAGGGGGAGGGGGGAGAGGAGGTCCCAAAAAAATGGGAGATTTCGGGGGGCCCGGGCCCCATGCCCCCCCCCCCCCCCCCCCCAGCTACGTGCGTGGCTCATACATTAGAGAGTTTTAGTATACCGTTTTCATCTTCCGCTCCGCTCTGAGGGTGCCAAACTGCGCATGCGCGGCCCGCTTCGCCGGAATGGAAAGCGGAGGTCCAAAAACGCGTTTTAGTAGAGCGTTTTTCTTCAGCGTAAGAGCGTTTTGAGCGGGTTCGACAAATTTGTTTGCGTAGCCCCACAAGTGGACGTTTATAGTACTAATAAGACAAAAAAAAACCTAAGCGTTAACACCAAAAGAGTAAAAGGGAGCGTGATTGTAGAGGTAGTAAAAACGAAGGCGACACTATTGAGCACAAAAGAGTAGGCACACACCTGAAGAAATATTAAGCTATAAAATATAAATATAATCGTTCCACGTTGTGTGCGAGTGAAGCCGAAGGTATAAGCATGAGCATGTTGCTCTAAACAGTGCTTGGACTGCACGAGCGCGCGTGCTTATCAAGGACGCTGAAAGGCCGGCACTCGCTCTTGTAGCTTCAGCTCCACTCGAATTAAAACTGAAACATATTTACTTATTCGAAGTAGAAAAATAAGAGAAAAGGACGAAGTTTGCGCATTGGGAGTACATCCTTTTGCGTAGTACGAGTACAGTGTTGCTCAAGGCTAGCAAGGCAACTGCACGATGAATCCCCGCTGTTCTCAAGGAAGGAGACTTCTACTAACGAGATTAAGATGGCGAGACATCGAATCTATGATTCGTATCCCTCGTGCCATCAAGCGCCGAAGCTTCCTTTCCGAACGCGGTTTGCTGGATATTTCCAACGTAGAAAAGAAACCCTTTAGGAAGCTATCCTGCTTAAAGAAGGACCTGGCTGTTCTGCGTGCGGGCCTCCAAATACCAGCACCCGACAGATCGGCGCAGGGTGTTGCCAATCTGGCGAGACGCTTTGCATGGTTCTTCCTCGACTGGCCTATCCCAACCGTCTGTTCGTACTTGAATGAGCGTTTGGACGGAACTTGTCGGTGTTCTTCAGTTCTGTGAACCTCATCGTGGGTCACATCAACGAGAGGTTCGGCCACCTGCTCGCTGACATGAACAAACATAGGTGGTTGACCCTGGCGAAACTAGAGCTGTGCTCACAGGTGAGGCCCTGCATGGTTTGTAGAAATTTCGCGTTTCTATTGTTTCTAGCACAGCTGCTCTGTCTGGTGAAAAGTTAATTTTTTCTATACGCCAAAGGTGTACATGGGCAGTGTCAGGAGAAGTCACGACGAGCGCGTTCGTAATCTATGAGTATTAGTAGGCCACTTTTATGAGCCCTCTTTGCTCTACTTTACGCTCTGCGAGAAGCATCGTCCCCACCGCGCATGCGTGGCCCGCTCTGAGTTGGAGCGTAAAGTTAGCGCAGTGAGCGTGCGCTCCGCTTCACAAGTTGTAGAGCGGACTGCCCTCAGCGTCCTTAGCGTGATCGCATAGATCTCAAGATGGCTGCACTTACTCAATACGCGTCGATGTTTTTGACCGTGACCTCAGCTTGAAAGAGGTCGAATCAAGAAGTAAAGCGTACGCCCCGCGCGTAAAAAGTAAACCATTCGATTTGAGTTCTATGTAACACAAAACAGCATAATCAAACGAAGTGAACGAGTATCACTTTGCAACCAGCACGGCGTCGGTAAAGTCGTCGCGTTTTGTGGACGGCCTATGGCTATGCATAGAGCCACTAAATAAGCTGCGCTTAGAGTATCGGCACTCCGTTCCCCGACATTGTTGTGGGCGCTGCCATTTTGGCTCGTATGCAGAACAGACGCAACGGCCGATCGTCAAGATTCAAAAGTGCGACTTCCTCGGCATTAGATTCGGTGTTAGGAAGGTCATGTAATATTGCTTTGCTCTGTCGCGAACGGTTTAAACACTTGTGGAAAGCGGAAAAGCATTTCCTGTGATTTCAGATAAAGCTTCAGATAACTGGCAACCTTGATTTTAAGACACAATATGGCCAAGTGTCGTTACTCTGAAGCGTAGCTTATTTAGTGGCACTAGCTATGCAGTCAGATGTACGGGTGCGCGTGCTTGAACGACGATTATATCTGTGCATGCGCCCTCCTGTCGAAAATGCCACTGAAAGCTGACCACGAGCATAGCACTCGCAAGCTGCACCAAAGAAACCATTCCTCCCAGCTTTATTTATTCACACTCGCTCGCAACTTTTGAATTGTTTAACTTTCCTCAAGAAATGTTTGCGTTGGATTTCCTTGGTAGATTTAGAAAATAATAGAAACTTGGATGCAGCCTTTTTAAAAGTGCAACCCATGGTGCCGCTAGTCTTCGAGGCCGCCTTATTTTGGCCAAGTGTCTAGGGGGCAAGAGAGCTACGTCATTGTTTGTCGCGGATGCGAGTCTAAATGTATTAGACACGAATGCTGCGTCAATACTGAATATGAAATGGGTTCTAGTCACAAGTCTCGCACTAAAAGCGATGCCCAAAATATGGCGGCCGAATATGTTACCCGGTGGTGTTTTGAAAAGAGTTACCAATAACGGTCAAAAGAATATTTCACGTCAATTTTTTGTCGGGTGAAAACCAGACAGGCATAAACAATGCAAAATTGAGCAAACACAACCCTTGACTTCTAAGCAATAGTGGTAGATTAGAACAGTTTTCAGAAGTTTCGTTTTGAATTCCGGCGTAGCGGGCCTCGCATGCACAGTTTGACGGCCTCAAACCTTAGCAGAATTAAGAGACAACTATATATATATATATATTAATTTACGATACCCAGTTTTTTACAACCCTAATGGAAATACGCTTTATCTTAGAGGAGTAACAAGTCCCATATCACATGTTTTGGTAGTGTTTAAATACTGCCGTGTTGTAAGAGTGTTTTTCTTTGTCTTTTTTATTAGGCCGTCAAGGACAAGGGAACGTCAAGGACAAGGGTTTTGTTGACCGCACAGCATGCCCATATGCCGTCCATCAAAAAAATTAGAAGAAGACCACAAGAGGGTGCTCGTCGTGAAGCACCAGGCAGTGATGTGCGCAGACGGCATAATTTGACGGCTGGACGAAACCTACAAAGACCATGGTCATTTTTTTTGTTTGTTTAATATTAGAATGCATAAAATTATCACAGTAAATTATGTTCAAGCTTTTGTACTGAGCGAAATACCTGTCCAACTGGGTTGAAAGGCCTCTAGAAATATTTTAATAAAAAACGTTTACTAACGACTCCCATTTTACTTCTCAGATGTGCGTGTGAATATTGCATCTAACCAATTTACAGTGTTACTGCTGAATTCAGCATTGTAAGAGTAGACTATGTTGGGTGGCCTTCTATTGCAAGAAAAGACCGTAGCACAAGTGAGGCAGAAACTGGGCAGGAGCTTAAGCTGAAAAACGCACTTTCATAAACACACAAAAGAAATAAAAAGAAGTGTATAGTGAAGCAAAATAGTTTCATGTCACCCCCCAAGGCAGATGCATACACTGCGCTCCACTGTTAATACCGACTGCTTTAGTCTTTGGTCTTTAACCTTTAATTTTTGGCTCTGGAGAGCTGCTGCACCGCGGAAAGCAGCAGCCCGTACCACCGAGGCCCGCGGTGCCGCGTCTAGGGAACATGGTAATGTGATGAGTATATACGTGCAAGATAACGACGACATGGGCTGTTGGTATTGGGGAGGGTGGCAGTCCGATCCGCAGAAATCCAGACTTCGTGGAGGCGGGTTGGGCGGGTGAGCAGGAAGCTATGAAGATCTTGCACGCCGTTCGATCAGTGCATGAAGGAGCACCAGGAACATAATGGCGCTATTGCTCACTGGGGTTCACTGGGGTCAAAGAATCATGCTCCAAGGAGGTAGTCCAGCCGAAGTAGAAGCTGCCGCC